CTCCACCTAGCAAATTACAGTCAGTTTTCCAACTTAATGATGCACTTGATAAAAAGTACTAAATTAAGGCAAGCACAGAATATATCACTCCAAAACAGATTCTGGATTCTGCCTGCATGCCCTATCCCAATTACTCCGCACTCTTTAACCCCACTTCACCTAAAGGAGACACTTGCTCTCAGGCTCTGCTTGTGGATCTAATATTTTTAAAATGTTTACAGAGTTTTAAGTTTTTAAACTTAAAATATTCTTTTCATTGGTGTCATCAGGAATATCGAAGAAATATTGGCTGCAAAGGGTGAGAAGGTTCAACGTGTGGTTGTCGATGGTTCACTGGAAATTACCACAAATGGAATCGACAGTGAGGAACCTGAGGGGGACCATTCTAACAAAGCCCTCGACTCTGGAGATCAACCAAAATCCTAATTCAATCATCTGGAACATTTAAGTGAAGGGCAACAGTCATGGTGATCCTGCTGTGAGCAGGCCATATTCCTTTGGTTTAGAGGGAGCAAGGCCAGTTTCACCACATGATAAGATCATACAAATAAAATGCAATAACTATGGTTAATTTCTGCCATTGCAGTCAATGCACATCTCAGTTATTGCAGCCAAGCCAGAGAAATGTCTTTTCAAGTGCATTGAGAAGTATTTTTAAATTCCAGACATCTGTTACAGAAGCCAGTTGACAGCAGGATATTGGGCAATAAAGTCTGTACACTCTGCAGTTTTGGAAATTCCTCAGCGAGCAGCCAATTTTTTGAGAGAAGAAAGAATTGAACCATATCATCGAGGGGTTGACCTGGTTGTGGTCATTACCTTAATCCAATGGTTTAACTGTTTCTACAACAAGGAATTTCAAAGTTATACCATTCTCAACAGCAACAACAACCTGCATCTATACAGCCCTTTGAATATAGGAAAACATCCCTCTGTGTTTCACAGGAGCAGTATCAGTGCTGATCCATGGGGAGATATTAGGACAGGCAACAAAAGACTTTATCAATGGAATGTATATTTTTTCAGGTAGATATGTGGAGAGTTACAGAAAAATTATTCAAATCAGTGAGAGGCTAAGGAACAGAATTAAAGTACAAACATCTTGGGAGAGAAGTGGTTATAGAGTGAAAGAAGGGCAAGAACATAGAGGAATTTGACCACATGGCTGATTAAGTCCACATCTGAATGTGGTCTGCAATTACTGCGGAGAGTTAGAATAAATGAGTGCATGAGATACAGATTTGTGTTGTTATTTACTTCTTGATCGCTGGTAAGGTATGGGCTAAATGCTCTCCATCCTACAGTGCAATTAAGCAATTGAATGAATATTTTCTTAACATGATTCAAATTACTAAATATGGATATTAAGTACGAGATTACCATGTGCAACAGTGTCCAACCCTTTGATGTGATTATATAATTGCACAGCAAATGCTGAATAATCCTGAGTATGTTGACAGTTTGGAACACCTACTTGTACTGGAATCTGCATATATTAAACACAGGGCCCTGTTCTTAGGTGGAAAGAACATGCATGCACCGTGACTGTTTCAAGTCTGGTTCATTTCTCAGGGCAAACAAGAGTCGACCTGCTTGGGTAAAAGTTTAAACCAAGCCTGGCAATTAACTGATAATCATCTTTAATTAGTGCACTCTCCATGGCTGTGCTTCCACCAATCAGAGTCTACTGGCAAATCCATAATGAGTGCAAGGTGGAAAGCTTTGACAAAATATGTTTTTTTTTACCAGCAGACATGTTGTTTACTATCAAAAGATTTGTGGACCTGCAACGCCCCCCACCGCATTCCTCTACAACCATTTTTAGACCCTTTTTTCCGCAAGGAATACAACAATTTATGGTAGCAAAGGATGCAATTTCTGTACTGGTCAAAAAGTTGCATCCAGCCTAATCTCCTGCCCAGCAAAATGTACTAATACATACTTATATTCCAGTGGTGACCACTTCAGAAAGGGGCTGTAGTGTCAGACCAACTGTGGAACATTCAAGTCTCTTAAAGGCTTTTGAATCGATTCAAGTTGTCTTTTCTCGTTCCATGTAACACCTTCCGATGGATCTTGACTCCATAGCTTTAACAAGGTCATAGCTAAGATACATGGACAGAAGGCCACTCAGCCCATCTCTGGTCACTGAGCTCCTGGAGTCCAGGAATCGACTGTCTATGAGAGGAGATGGAAGTGGAGGTGGCCAGTGATTTGAAAAATAAATTGTTGGGGTCTTCAAGTGAATAAATATGCAGGACTACGAGGTTACAGCAAGGAAGAGGTACTGACTGACTTGCTGTATGTTGACTAGATGGGCTGACTAGACGGGATTGAGGTTCATATTAGACTAGACGGGATTGAGGTTCATAAGGAGGAGGTGTTAGCAATTCTGGAAGGTGTGAAAATAGATAAGTCCCCTGGGCCAGATGGGATTTATCCTAGGATTCCCTGGGAAGCTAGAGAGGAGATTGCAGAGCCTTTGGCTTTGATCTTTATGTCGTCATTGTCTTCCGGAATAGTGCCAGAAGACTGGAGACTAGCAAATGTTGTCCCCTTGTTCAAGAAGGTGAGTAGAGACAACCCTGGTAATTATAGACCAGTGAGCCTTACTTCGGTTGTGGGTAAAGTGTTAGAAAGGATTATAAGAGATAGGATTTATAATCATCTAGAAAGGAATAATTTGATTAGGGATAGTCAACACGGTTTTGTGAAGGGTAGGTCGTGCCTCACAAACCTTATTGAGTTCTTTGAGAAGGTGACCAAACAGGTGGATGAGGGTAAAACGGTTGATGTGGTGTATATGGATTTCAGTAAAGCGTTTGATAAGGTTCCCCATGGTAGGCTATTGCAGAAAATACGGAGGCATGGGATTGAGGGTGATTTAGCGGTTTGGATCAGAAATTGGCTAACTGTAAGAAGACAGAGGGTGGTGGTTGATGGGAAATGTTCATCCTGGAGTTCAGTTACTAGTGGTGTACCTCAAGGATCTGTTTTGGGGCCACTGCTGTTTGTCATTTTTATAAATGACCTGGATGAGGGCGTAGAAGGATGGGTGAGTAAATTTGCGGATGACACCAAAGTCGGTGGAGTTGTGGATAGTGTGGAAGGATGTTGCAGGTTACAGAGGGACATAGATAAGCTGCAGAGCTGGGCTGAGAGGTGGCAAATGGAGTTTAATGCAGAAAAGTGTGAGGTGATTCACTTTGGAAGGAGTAACAGGAATACAGAGTACTGGGCTAATGGTAAGATTCTTGGTAGTGTGGATGAGCAGAAAGATCTCGGTGTCCATGTGCATAGATCACTGAAAGTTGCCACCCAGGTTGATAGCGTTGTTAAGAAGGCGTACAGTATGTTAGGTTTTATTGGTAGAGGGATTGAGTTTCGGAGCCATGAGGTCATGTTGCAGCTGTAGAAAACTCTGGTGCGGCCGCACTTGGAGTATTGCGTACAGTTCTGGTCACCGCATTATAGGAAGGATGTGGAAGCATTGGAAAGGGTGCAGAGGAGATTTACCAGGATGTTGCCTGGTATGGAGGGAAGGTCTTATGAGGAAAGGCTGAGGGTTTTGAGGCTGTTTTCGTTAGAGAGAAGAAGGTTAAGAGGTGACTTGATAGAGACATACAAGATGATCAGAGGATTAGATAGGGTGGACAGTGGGAGCCTTTTTCCTCGGATGGTGATGGCTAGCACGAGGGGACATAGCTTTAAATTGAGGGGTGATAGATATAGGACAGATGTCAGAGGTAGAATTAGAATCCCTACAGTGTGGAAACAGGCCCTTCGGCCCAACAAGTCCACACCGAACCTCAGAGCATCCCACCCAGATCCATCCCCCTATGACCCACCTAATATACACCCTCTACCTCCCTGAACACTACAGGCAATTTAGCATGGCCAATCCGCCTAACCTGCACATCCTTGGACTGTGGGAGGAAACCGGAGCACCCGGAGGAAACCCACGCAGACACGGGGAGAATGTGCAAACTCCACACAGACAGTCGCCCGAGGCTGGAATCAAACCCAGGTCCCTGGTGCTGTGAGGCAGCAGTGCTAACCACTGTGCCACCATGTCGCCCGGTTCTTTAGGTTCTTTACTCAGAGAGTAGTAAGGGTGTGGAATGCCCTGCCTGCAAAAATAGTAGACTCGCCCACTTTAAGGGCATTTAAATGGTTATTGGATAAACATATGGATGATAATGGAATGGTTTAGGTTAGATGGGCTTCAGATTGGTTTCACAGGTCGGCGCAACATCGAGGGCCGAAGGGCCTGTACTGCGCTGTAATGTTCTATGTTCTATCAGTGCTGTAATGGCAGTGCAACTCACTGTGGTTCTGTAATTAGGAGATAGCAAGAACTGCAGATGCTGGAGTCAGAGTCAACACAGTATGGAGCTGGAGGAACACAGCAGGTCGGGCAGCATCAGAGGAGCAGGAAAGCTGATGTACCGGGTCTGGAACCATTATAAACATCGACTTTCCTGCTGCTCTGATGCTGCCTGTCTTGCTGTGTTCCTCCAGCTCCACACCGTGTTGTCTGTGCTTCTGTAATTTCTGATATTTGGTTGTTTTTAATTTGATGGCCTCTGAATGCAAGTTAGTTACAAGAACTGTAAGAGACTTGGAGACCTTCAAAACCCAATGACAAATTCGTTGTGAAGTTTTCTTGTGGGGCAGTGGGAGTGCATTTGCCTCTGAGCAGGTAGGACCAGGTTTGAGTCCCACCTGCGTCAGAGTTCAGTAATAACATATTTGAACATGTTGATGAGGAAGGTATAACTATTAATTAATTGTTGGGGTTACCAGCTCTGTTTTCCCTGAACACAGTACCACAGAAATTGGTTTATAAGAATGGAGCAACTCTGTCTTTGTGTTACATTGATATGCACTTAATGCAGTGTGACCTCACTTGAAGTGACATGACCTCATCAAGTTGGCGGTGAAAGATCACGTGGACATTTGCTAATCCCTATTGTTGGATGCGTGTGATTGATGTCACAGTCAGCCACACCGATCACCCGAATTACGCCACGTGTACAGCTCGCCTTCCAATCAACAGCTCCAGGAGGTGGGGTTCCGGCAATGATCCCCGCCCCCCAAGCCACGGCCTGCACTGGTCCTCAGTTGATTCGGACTCTTCATTTGTTTAGCGCCTGAGGTGAGAATAGTAATAAATAAACAAAACTGCTTCTTCTAAACATCGCGGGATCTCCGACAGTGCCCACTCCCTCGGCACTGACCCTCCGACAGTGCCCACTCCCTCGGCACTGACCCTCCGACAGTGCGGCGCTCCCTCGGCGCTGACCCTCCGACAGCGCGGCGCTCCCACAGCGGTGTGACTATAATGTTGACTGTAAATCACAATCCCCACTCAGGATATTTAAAGACCGTATCTTTTTATTATTCTGTAGTTTTGATTTGGAATGAAATGAGAAATGGGCTTTTTTAAAATCCATAGATTATGGATGAGATTGCTGCACCGTTTGAAAGCAGATAGCAGCGCTCCTTGTACAGAAAACAGCAAATACTGGAGATCACAACAAGTCAGGCAGCATCCACAGAGAGAGCAAGATAGTGTTTCAAGTCTAGATGACTCTTCAACATCTGTAGTAATTTGCTTTTCCTTGTGTAAACTCTGTTTGTGCAGCTGCATTCATGCAGAAATGGAAATACTACAGATGGGCTGACACCAATGAGTGTGAACACAGTGAGGTTCAGCCAGCACCAAGTTGTTGGTCTGTGGTGAGATGACCAGTTGTCAATGACAAAGGCCTACTGCCTGCCAGCAGCTATGTGATTGGCTGTGACCTTTAACCAGTAGCTAAGAGACTTTACAAATTGTGAATTAGTTGCTCTCGTCCTCTGGGATTATAGTGACTTTACTATGTGTAGGGGAAGATTTATAAGTGGGTTTGTTACAACTGTGAAGTTATGTAAACAAAGACATAAGTTGTTAGAGAAATTCAGCAGGTTTGGCAGCGTCCGTGGAGAGAAAGCAGGGTTAACGTTTCGAGTTCAGAGACTCTTCTCCAATTCTTCGGAACTGTCTTTCAGCTTTTCCTTAGGTGAAGGGTTTGTCACGCGAGAAACTGTTAAGTTGGTTGGACCTATGCTTGTTAGAGTTCAGAAAAAATGAGAGCTGATTTTAGTGAAACAATTTGGAGAAGCGACTTGATCAAGTGGATGCTGAGAGTATGTTTGCCCTCATCAGGGAATTTAGAACAAAGGGGCACAGTTCAAAATGAATGACCACCTATTTAAGGTAGAGATGAGAATTTTTTTCAGAAGATCATTTAGTATTTAAATCCTCTCCTACATTCCCTCTAATTTCTCCACCATTTGCATTGAACTCCATGAGTGGATCATGGGAGTGTCAGCTTGGCCACATACCTTGGAGGGAACGTTGATTATCTTCCCATCAACCAGTGGTCAGCGAATATACTTGAAGCTTAGTCATGGTGACTTTTGATCTGCAAACGAGTCAAGTGTTATGGGATGAACAGGAAGGCTGTTGGGGTTGAAACCATGATCTTATCGCAAGAAAGAGCAAGCTCAAGGAGCTAAACAGCCTTCTGTTGGTCTTGCGTTCTTAATGCTCTCCTTGTCAGCGCCCGAGATCCAGTCCCCCGAACCCTGATAGTTTAGTACTGGTGGGCAACCTACATTTGTGCAGCTGCACTTAGGAAATTTTTCAAAAGGTGACAGAGGGTTTTGAGAAAGTTTTGATAACGTTGCTTTGTAAATTTTTACATGTTGATGCAGGATGTCACAGCAACGAACACTACCTCAGAGTAAAGAGCTTCTGCTCCAGTCCTACAACAAGAGACTGAAAGATGACATCAAATCTATTCTGGATAACTTCACAGAAATTGTCAAAAGTGCTCGGGTATGTAGAATCACATCAGGCCAGTTGGGCTTGCAGCCCTGGTCTGAGCAAATGTTTTTAATTTTCTCCTGTTTACCTTGAGAAGATCAAATCTCAACATGCTGAGTAGTGTTAAGTCCTAAATCAATAGTCTTTGTATTTCAGTAACAATCTAAGTATAGAATATCTAGCTCAGAAGCAGGCCATTCAGCCCATTAGCTCTTGCCACTATTTATTCACAACACGATTGAATCAATCTAACCCCACTCTCCCACTCACTCCCTGCACACTTTTTAATGTTTCTCTGTCTTTAATTTCCTTTTAAGTGAATGCAGAGATTTGCTTCAACAACAGTTGTGACTGAGAATCCAACAAAGAATCACAGAATTGTTGTGATGCAGAAAGAGGCTATTCAGCCCATTGTGTCTGCAGTGGCTCTGAGCATTTGACTTAGTGCTTGTCTGATATTCTGATTACGCATTTAATTTTTTTGTGATTATTTAAAGTATCTGCTTCTCCTTCCTGTTTCCTGGCCTTTTGGACCAACCTCTGACCATTTAGCCCTTTTATAAACTTCTTTCGTTCCAAACCTCTAACCTTCTCTGTCCAAGGGCTAATAGACCATACGACATCGGCCATTTGGCCCATCGAGTCTGCTCCGCCATTCAATCATGGCTGATAAGTTACTCAACCCCATTCTCCTGCCTTCTCTCTGTAACCTTTGATCCCCTTGAGAATCAAGAACCTATCCAACTACCTCTTAAATATACTCAATCACCTGGGCTCCACAGTCCTCTGGTAATAAATTCTACAGATTCGCCACTCTCTGGCAGAAGAAATTTCTCCTCATCTCTGTTCTAAAGGGTTTTTCCTTTACTCTAAGGCTGTGCCTCAGTAGTCTCTCCTGCTCATGGAAACATCTTCCCAACATCCACTCTGACCAGGCCATTCAGTGTTCTGTAAGTTTCAACTAGATTCCCTGTCATCCTTCTAAACTCCATCAAGTATAGACCCAGAGTCCTCAAACATTCCTCATATGTTAAGCCTTTCGTTCCCGGGATCATTCTTGTGAACCTCCTCTGGATCCGCTCCAGGGCCAGTACATCCTTCCTGAGATATGTGACCAAAAATTGCTCATGATATTGTAAATGTGGTCTGACAAGAGCTTTATAAAGCATCAGAAGTACAACCGTGCTTTTATATTCTAGTCCTCTCGCGATAAGTGCCAACATTGTATTTGCCTTCCTAACTATTGACTCAACCTGCAAGTTGACCTAAAAAGAATCCTGGACTAGGACTCTCAGGTTCATTTGCGTCGCCTCCCCCTCTCTCTGTTTATTTCAGAGCCCCCTTCCCCTCCCCCATTTCTGAAGAAGGGTCTAGACCCGAAATGTCAGCTTTCCTGCTCCTCTGATGCTGCCTGGCCCGCTGTGTTCATCCAGCTCCACACCTTGTTACCTTATTTCTTTCTTAGTCTTTGTAGACTTCCTAATCCTCTGGCTTCCCACTGCCCTTCATTGTATGAAATGCTTTCTCTTTTGCTTTTATACTATCCCTGATTTCCCTCATCACCATTGTTGCCTCATCATCCTGTACCATGCTTCTTTCTCCTAGGGATAAATTTTTGCTATGTCTCCTAAATTACTCCGAGAAACTCCTGCCATTGCTGTGCCACTGTCTTTCCTGCTAGGCTCCTCCCCCAGTCAATTCTGGTCAGCTCTACCTTCATGCCTCTGAAGTTGCCTATATTCAGCTGTAATGCCATTACCTCTGATTCCACGTACTCCCTTTCAAATAGCAAAGTAATTTATATTATATTATGGTCACTGCCTCCTAAGTGTTCCTTAACCTTAAGCTGCCTTATCAACTCTGCCTCATTATACATCACTAAATCCAGTATTGCCTGTTCCCTAAATGGACTCCACCATAATCTGCTCCAAAAAGCCATCTCGAAGACATTCCACAAATTCTTTTTCTTGCAATCGACTACCAACCTGGTTTTCCCAGTCCACCTGCATATCAGTGTAACCTTACCTTTCTTACACACCTTTTCTATCTCCAGAGGTATGTTGTGGCCCACATCCTGACGACTGTTTGGAGGCCTGTATATAACTTCCATTATCGTGTTTTAACCTTTGCAGTTCCTCAACTCTACCCGCACAGATTCTACGTCATCTGACCCTACATCATTTCTTGCTTTCAATTTAGTTTTATTTCTTACTAATAAGGCAAATCCACCCCCTCTGCCCACCTGCCTGTCTTTTCAATAGGATGTATATCCTTGGATATTTAGCTGCCAATCCTGATCGCCTTGCAGCTGTTTAGCTTTAATAGCTTTATTTAGCTCACAGTTATAACTCTCTTTCCTCCAATCATTGATAAGCTTGAACATTTCAACCTGTACCTCTCAGCATTTCCCAGAGAAAAGCATTTCTGAGTGCATACTGAGCCTTGGAAAGAACACAGTTTTAAGCCTAAAACATACAGACCTCAAGTTATTGGGCCCACAGCAAATAATCAGCTGTTTTATCATTTTAATTTCTCCTGTCCTCCTTGTGACAGTCAGGAATTGAAGCCTTGACACATTTAACTCTGGAGCCCGATTCAGTTTATTAGTTCCTTTCCCTGTTTGAGGCGCCAATCACTCATGATCTGATTGAATGGCATATCAGCCTTTAAGAGATGAATGGCCTCCTGCTGTTCCTGTAACCAGTGCACTTGGTTCCCTGATCCACAATGATCAAAGTGGGAGTCCAGCAGCATGCTAGAACTGTGTGTATAATATTCCTGAGACACTGGTAATAAGTGTTCACCATAAGCTGATCCTTGAATCACAGGTTGAAGATGAGACACAGGTATCCCGGGCGACGCAGTGTGAACAAGATCACTATGAGATGCATGTGAGAGCTGCAAACATTGTAAGTATTGCATGGGTCAGATGTATGCCATTCATTCTCAGTATGGCTTTTTTTCAAACTAGCCTGCTGTGCTCTGTTTCATACTTGTAAACTCTAGCTAGGGTACAGGTTTCACTTGCATACTGACTCTCCCTGCAGTTTGCATCCCGCATGCACAAACCCTTGCTGGGGTATGGATGCTACGTGAACAGACTCTGACTAGATTACAGATCCCGTGTGCACACACGCACTGTTTGGGGTGTGGGGCACTGTTTGGGGTGTGGGTCCTGAGTGACACAGACTGTGGCTGGGGTACTGGTCTGGCGTAGCCACCGGTTTGGACATTTGAAGAGAAAAATCGATGTGTGACTCCAAAGGGAAGCAAGTAAGTGATTGACTGGTGAGTATTGCTGCTTAGTGACTGAGTGTAAAGAATGAAGAGTTATGAAAATATTAAAAGCACGTGAGCAGCTGATAAGCTTTATCATGTATTTTTACATAATGTTTAATACCACCAGGAGGAAGTATTACATACTGACATTTATCGTAAGCAGTAGGACCTTACTGATAGTAAGGCTTATTGTTAAAGGTTACACTTGAGTAGTATTTGTGAGACTTATTAGCATTACTAAGCTTTATCAGAGATGACTAGGAATTTAGCTAATAAATAAAATGGCAGGGCTGTGACTTTGAAGGTACACGTCTTGTGTGCTTTGTGGGAACTCCATGATGCTTCTCATGCTGTGACTAACCATCTCTGCAGGAGGTGTTGTCAGTTACAGCGGCTCAAGGTCCAGGTTTTGGAACTTGAGCAGCAGCTGGAGTCTCTGCGATCTGTCTATGAGGCTGAGTGATGTGGATAGCAGATTTATGGATGTGGTCATCCTACAACTTAATAATCTGCAGGGAGGTGCGCATGAGCAACCAAGTTAGCCTGAGCCAAGTCACTGGTACCACTGGTTGCTCAGTTGTACAGGACGTACAAAAAATTCTGGAAGAACATTAGTGATTGGTGATTCCAAGGGGTGGCAAGCTAGTGTGTGTGAATTCATTTCAGTCCACAGTCAAAATATCTTTGTCATTTATATAATTATTTGGGTGTGAATATAGGGGGTATGGTTAGTAAATTTGCAGATGACACCAAAATAGGTGCTGTAGTGGACGGCGAAGAAGAAGATTATCTCAGAGTACAATGGGACCTTGATCAGATGGGCCAACAGGCCGAGGAGCGGCAGATGGGTTCTAATTTAGATAAATGTGAGGTGCTGTGTTTTGGTAAGGTAAACCAGGGTAGGACTTATACATTTAATGGTAGGGCCCTGGGCAGTGTGGCCAAATAAAGAGACCTTGGAGTGTAGGTGCATAGTTCCTTGAAAGTGGAGTCACAGGTAGGCAGGGTAGCAAAGAAGATGTATGATATGCTTGCCTTATTGGTCAGAACATTGAGTGAAGGAATTGGGAGGTCATGTAGAGGTTGTACAGGACATTGGTGAGGCCACTTTTACAGTACTGTGTATAGTTCTGTTTGCCCTACTGTAGGAAGGATGTTTTTAAACTTGACAGGGTGTAGAAAAGATTTACAAGGATGTTACTGGGACTCGAAGGGTTTGAGTTATAGGGAGAAGCTGAATAGGCTGGGGCTTTTTTCCCTGGAGCATCAGCAGCTGAGGCGACCTCAAAAAAAGCTTATAAAATCATGAGGGGCACGGGTAGGGTGAATAGCCAAGGAATCTTTCCCCAGTGGGAGAATCCAAAACTGGAGGGTATAGGTTTAAGGTAAGAGGGGAAGATTTGGAAAGGAACTGAAGGGTAACATTACCACACAGAGGGTGGTACGTGTATGGAATGAGCTACCAGAGGAAGTGGTGGAGGCTGGTACAATTACAACATTTAAAAGGCACCTGGATGGATATATGAATAGGAAGGGTCAAATGCTGGCAAATGGGACTAAGTCAGATTGGGATGTCTGGTCAATGCGGATGGAACTGGACCGAAGGGTCTGTTTCCATGCTGATTGACTGACTCTCAATATACAGAAAAATAAAAAGATATGGTCTTCACATGTAATGGAATAGATTTGCCCGGAAATTGCAGTGAAATAAAAAAAAAATGTTACTATGGGGAGTTTTAATTGTCAGAGTACAGACTAGGACAGTAGTATTGTAAAGGTCAAAGAGTTAAGAATTCCTGGAGTGTGTTTAGGAGAATTCACTCCAGAGGTATGTTTCCAGTTCATTGAGAAAGGAAGTCCTGGTAGATCTGATTCTTGGGAACAGGACATATGTCATTAGCAACGTTCCCTCAAAGCTGCGCACATGTGTCACTGCTGTGCTGTTCCATGCACAGTAATCAGTGCCAGCATGCTGCTTGCAGCATTGACTTGCAGTTCTGAAATCGTGACCCCTAGTAATTGAGTCCCCAACTCTGGGGAAAAAGCTTCTTGCTATCCACCCTATCTATACCTCTCATGATTTTGTAGTCCTCAATCAGGTCCCCCTTAACCTCCGTCTTTCTAATGTAAATAATCCTAATCTACTCAATCTCTCTTCATAGCTAGCACCCTCCATACCAGGCAACATCCTGGTGAACCTCCTCTGCACCCTCTCCAAAGCATCCACATCCTTTTGGTAATGTGACGACCAGAACTGTACGCAGTATTCCAAATGTGGTTGAACCAAAGTCCTTTACGACTGCAACGTGACCTGCCAACTCTTGTACTTAATACCCTGTCCGATGAATGAAAGCATGCCGTATGCCGCCTTGACCACTCTATCGACCTGCGTTGCCACCTTCAGGGTACAATGGACCTGAACACCCAGATATCTCTGTGCATCAATTTTCCCCAGGACTTTTCCATTTACCGTATAGTATTCATATTTTACATCTCTTTATGGAGTAAGGAGATACTGCCCAGGCATTGTGAAGGTGAACGAAATTTTATCGCTAGAAAGGTTTGAATTTGATAAGGAGGTGATAGGTTGCTGATACATCAGTTGATAAGGCATCAGGACCTGAAGAGATGCATCCAATTATATTGAGGGAAATAACAATGGACATTGCAGATGCACCAAAAATTTCTCATTCTTCCATCATCTTGGAGATAGTAGCAATGAACTGGAGAATTGAAAACATTACAACCTCACAGAAAAAGAAATGGTGTTGCGATAAGCCAAGCAGTTACAGACCAGTCAGTTCAATTTGGGGAAGCTTCTACAAACAATAGTTTGCGAAATCTGAATAGTCCAATGGTTTATGCAAGTTAACTAAGGAAAGCCAGGATTGATTTCTGAAGGTTGAACTAACTCACCGGTGTTTTTTGATGAAGTGACAAAGAGGGTTGATGAAGGTAATGCTGTGGATGTGATGTATGTGAAACAGTTCCACACAACAGATTTGAGAGCAAAGTTAGGGCTCGTGGAATAAAAGAGGCAGTAGCAGCTTGGATACAACATGGTTTCTCGTCACTCAGCCAGAGCGATAAGTAATTGGCAAAGGAAGTATAAATGTTATGAAGGAAAATGTTTTCACACTGCAAATGGTTACAGTCTGAAACGCATGCCTGAGTGCAGTGGGAACAGGTGTAATCAAGGCATTCTAAAGGGAATTGACTGGTTGTTTGAGAAAGACGGTAGAATTTCAAAAGGACATAGCCAAGTTAGTGGAGTGGGGCAGGTCAATGATGGATGAAGTTCAGTGATAGTTCAATGCGGAGAATCATGAGGTGATACATTCTGATAGGAAGCTCATGGGGAGAGAGAGGAAAAAAAAGGCAGTGTACAACTGTAAAGGAGCTGACAGCTGGGTTTGCACGTGCATTAAAAAGAGAAAGCTAACAGGACAGGTTGAGAGAGTAGTTAATAAAGCATACAGTCGCATACAGCATACAAGAGGGCACAGATTTAATGTCATTGGCAAAAGAAGTAAAAATGACATAAGGAAAATATTTTCCACACAGTGGAGAGTTTAGGGTCTGCAATGCACTGCCTGGGAGTGTTCTGGAGACAAGATCAATCAATGCTTTCAAGTGGAAATTAGATGGTTGTTTGAATAGGCACAATGTGCAGTGATACAGGAAGAAAGCACAAAATTGGAACCAAGTCAAATATTGATTTGCAGAGTTGGCTCAAATGTAGTAGGCTGAGTGGCCTCATTCTACACTGTGTTAATTCTGTGATGAGTGGAGTGAACCTTCTCTGATCTTCAAATGCAGTTTTCTTTTTCAAATAAAGATCACAACTATACACCGTACTCCAGATTTGTACCTGTTCAGCTGCAATAAACGTCCCAACACTTGCATTCCATTTGGCTTGAAATAAACCTCAATGTTCCATTTTCCTTCCTAATCACTTTTGGTACCTGCATACTGACTGTGATCTCTCTGTACCACAGAGTTCTGCAATCTCTCCCTGTTTAAGTGGTATACTACTTTTCTATGCTACCATATAAAGCAGATAAGTTTGCATTTTCCAATGTCTTTCTCCATCTGTAAAATTTTGCCCATTCTCTTAACATATTTATATCCCTTTGCAGACTCTGTGACCACTTCACCATTTACTTTACCTACCTACCTTGGTAACATCAGCAAATGTAGCTGCCATATTCATAGAATCCCCACAGTGGGAAATCAAGCCACACGGCCCAGCGAGTCCACACCGACCCTCCAAAAAGCATCCCACCCAGACCTAATCCCCTACCTCATCCCTGTAACCCTACATTTACCATGGCTAACCCACCTAGCCTACACACCCCTGGACACTACAAGCAATGTAGCATTGCCAATCCACCTAACCTGCACATCTTTACTGTGGGAGGAAACCAGAGCATCCAAAGGAAACCCACGCAGACACGGGGAGAATGTGCAGTCTCCGTGCAGACTGTCGCCCTTCACCCAAGTTATTGCTAGAAGCTGTAAATAGTGTGGGCCCAGCTCTGATCCCTGTGGCACTCCATTACCTACAGGTTCTCATCCTGTCTGTGGTAATGTTACCCTGTACATCATATGCTCTTTTCTTGTGTAGTAATCTTTTGTGACACCTTCTGTATTGCCATAGTTCATGATTTTGGCTCTTGTTTATCTGCTGCCTTGGTGCTAGGTGCGAGCTGGTGAGTCTCTGATGAAGCTGGTGTCAGACCTGAAACAGTTCTTGATCCTGAATGACTTTCCCTCGGTGAATGAAGCCATTAACCAGCGGAAGCAGCAACTACGAAACCTGCAGGAAGAATGTGACAAGAAACTGATCACCCTGAGAGACGAGATTGCAGTTGATCTCTATGAGCTGGAAGAAGAATATTACTCCTCCAGGTACAAATAACACAGAACTGTCCTCGGCACAGCCTCCAGAATGTTCCGTGAGCAACCACAAGAGTGCCTTTTAACACTGACATAACCACAATGTGATCCAGCCTCATTCACTCACACTGTAACACTCTCCTAATCTCACACTAACCTTCTCGTGCTGTAACAATTCTAATCCCACATTATAATACTCTCCAATTCCATGGAATGTATTGCTTGGGTAGATGAGGCTGTACCTCTGTATTTTTAAACTCTGCTGATATTATTCCCCAAGCTCCTCATTATTACTCACTAGAAATGCGAGTCTTTCTCTTTTCGTTGTGATGTGGGTTGACTTTGGGCTCTAGTTGAGGCTGTTTAAAAATATTCTTTTACAGCACATCTTCAGTTGAGACTGATCCTGATCCACCAGAACCCAAATGTTATGTTAGGTGTTGCGAAGGGTGGTGCTGGGCAGAGGGTGGTTTCACTTATTTACACCTCTTCCCTTCTTGACAGAACAAATTCCCAATTCCTGACTGTAAATCATTTTGGGGATCCTATGGATTCTCCCCACCATGTGTCTGTTGGAGTTGATTGAATTGATTCCTCATGAGTCAAACTCTAACATTCCAAAATGTCGCAAAGTGACTGATTTCTTTTTGAAAAGGCCATCTGCACAAGGATGCTCACCAATCAGCAAAATTTTGAACGTTCCTGGGCACTACACATTTCACTAAAACGTTCTTAAGTGCAATTCTGAAACTGTGCTGCAGCATCTCCTGTTGGAATTTGCCTCTGCTGCCACCTCGTGTGTATCAGGGACTATAAAGGTGCTTCTGTAATGTTGAACCAAACAGGGCATTTACAATTGGCCGAGAATGTCTGCTCAGCTTTTACTACAGTAAGAATCTGAGAATTTTTACTACATAAAATGGAATTTTATTGTAAAAAATCATTCCCCAATTTAGTAAGAGATTCTATTTATCTCAAATTTTATATTAGCTTTTCTACTACATGATGTCCATGCATGTTATGAATATATAAGTACCCTGTTTGTCAGACTTTAAACTTCTCGAGTCTAATCTTCTGTGCCAGATTTGGTAGGGAAACAGTTTTCTATTTGTTTGAAGTAATACAACATTGCAGCCTTAAAGAGATGCACAGTTCCTTCACACGAGGATAAGAAGTTAAAAAGTGTGTTGTGACCAGAGTCTGTGACTATGTGTTACTATTTATACGAAAATCATTTCAACAACCATCAACGTTTTCTGCAATGTGTGTTATATATTTCTGTTATGATTCTTTCTGAAGGTGGTGGATGGCACAGAACTGTCTAATTCAGTACCCTTTCCTTTCCCACTGCCAAGTGTCTCATTACTTGTAATGATCCAACTCATTCTGACTATCCCATATTAATGCAAGGATTGTGAGCTGCTTGCACATCCCAGTGTATTTAAGTTATGAGGTTGCTATTGCATGCAATAGGTCAAGATAATTAGGCAGAGCCAACATGGTTTTGTCAAAGGGAAATCATGTTTAATTATTGGAGCTCTTTTAACAAGTAACTTGTTCTGTAGATAACGGGAAACCAATGGATATATTGTACTTAGACTTCCAGAAAGCATTTGATAAGGTGCCCCATCAAAGATTGTTACGAAAATAAAAGCTCATCTTATAGAGGGTAAGAGAATGGCATGGAAGATTGACTGACTGACTGACTGACCTCTTCTCTTTAAGTTTTATATAAATGATTTGGATAAAGAGACTGAAGGTTTGGTAGTTAAATTTGCTGATGATGCAAAGATAGGAAAGTGAGTTGTGACAAGGACATAAGGAGCCTACAAAGGGATATAAATAGGTTAAGTGAGTGGGTAAAGATCTGGCAAATAGAGTACAATACGGGAAAATATGAAATTATCTATTTTGGTAGAAATAATAAGAAGCATATCATCTAAATGGTGAGAGGTTGCAGAGCTGTAAAATGCAGAGGGATCTAGGAGTCTGAGTGCAGAATCATAGCAGGTTAGTGTGCAGGCACAGTAAGTAGTTGGGAAAGCTGATTGAATGTGTTGTACAGTGAGGGGAATTGAAAGCAAGAGTAGGGAGATTATGCTGCAGTTATACGGACATAAGTGAGACAATATCAGGAGTACTGTGTGTAGTACCGGTCACCATCCTTACGGAAGGATGTTAATGTGTTGGAAACAGTTCTGAGTTAATGTTTACTAGGCTAATGCCTGGAATGATCAGCTTGCCTTCCGAGAAAAGGCGAGACAGGCTCAGCCTGTATCTTTGAGAGTTTAGGAGAGTCAGAGTTGACTTAATTGAAGTTTATGAGATCCTGAGGGGACTTGACTGGGTGGATGTGGCGAAGTTGCTTCCCATTGTGGAAGAATCTAGAAATGGGGTTGTAGTTCAAAAATAAGGATTTTTCCCATTTAAAACAGAGGAGGAACCTTTTTTTTGAGGATTGAGAATCTTTGGAATTCCCTTACTCAAAGGCAGTGAATGCACAATCTTTAAGACAGGTTAAATTCTTGATTATCAAAGGAATGAAAGATAATCGGAGGTATGCAGGAATGTAGAGTTGAGGTTAAAATCAGATCAACCATGACCTTACTGAATGGCAGAGCAGGCTTGAAGGGCTGAGTGGCCTACTCTTGTTCCTTGTTTGTATGCACATCATATAACATTTCAGTATTACATTCTATATACATTCTGTAATATCAATAGAGTGACTTAAATATACATCCCATGATATCAGTCTGAATTAGCTGTACGTGCCAGGATATTCCCCACACACCCTGTAATATTCTGTTGTGTTATATGTGCATCCCATAATAGTCCCCTTTAGTATGTTCACTGTACATTCTGAAATTATCCATGTGTAGCTTGTAATAACACTCCAAGGTTTAAGATCTCATCGCAGTCCCAGGTGTTCAGTGAGTAATTTTGGGAATTGCTGGGATTCAAAGGATAACGTGGCGATCACCTCTGCTGAAGCCTCTGTTCTGGGCCACTGGGTTCAGGGTCAGTTTGCAACCACTGGATTATGGAAAGCCCAGGTTCCAGCTCCAGCCTGAATTGAGTCCATGGGCTCAGCCATGACTGCACTAGCCTGAGCTAGTGAGGGGAAAGGGGCTAGGAGGGGAGGAGCCCAGCCACAGCTCCTATTCTTGATCAGTGTTTAGTGTATTCTCCCATGTGCACACATGTCCACAATTTGGCAATAATCAGTTTTTGAGTTCAGCTGTTAATACACACAGTCAAATAGTTTATGACAGAAACCCACACATCGACTTGGAAAGATGGGAATGCAGAACTGCCACTGACTCTCTCTGATGCGTAATCCCTAGAGTATCCCAAACTGTATCCATCCCACACCCCTAAGCCTCTTCACTGAAATGAGCCATTTAAAATCAATGGAACCTCCTCCATCATGTGTAACTAAATCCATTTCTGTGAAATGCATGCTTTAATCTAAAAAGGTGTTGCCATTCAGTCTCCCACCCAGAGCTATGATAATTTAGAGTGCGGACTAAAAATGCGAACTGTTTTCACTTATTGAACCTTGCAATAGTGAGTGTTACATTTAGTAATTGTCATTATGTGCCTTGTTCACTGTTCCCAACATTTTCAAATTTGTTTTTATATCTGTACTTATGTTTATTTTTGTTTAAAGATTTATATATAATTTAAAAACCGTATCCTTCATTCAATGAAACATTCCAGCATCTCACTTTAAAGAGTCAGCATTTTAAATACTTCCTAAATAAAGGTCAAATCAATAATCACCAATCTCTGTCTTTCTGTTTCACATCATCTCATTGAAATTTCCTCTGCTTTGCACCTGCCATTTGCTTCTGCTGCCTTTCAAACACAAGCCATTTATCAATTGAATTAAAATATCCTTTTAATCACAGACCAGATCCTTGGAAGATTTCAGTCAGTGAAAGCAGTACCTGGTATGTTACCAAGAGGAGCAGACCATATTCTATCCTCGGGCTGTGCTGGGTTGGGTGATCGTTACTGGGGAGAGGAATAGGGTCAGTACTATTGACACTTGTAGATTTCAAGGTTAGAGTTCCAAATACTGACCAACTTTCAATAGTTTTCATTCAGCTGTGTGATCCCTCTTAGTTATCACCACTGTGCCTATCCTGGGAGTGTTCGGGAACAGTGTTGAGGAAGCTTTATTTTTAGATTAAGAGTAGAAAGAACTTGACATCTAACACTGTTGTTCCTGCTGTAGGAGTATTTGGGGACCGTGTGGAGAGAGCTTAACTTACTGCTTAAAAGAATATAGGGAGCTTTACTCTGTGCCCTATGCTGTGCTGTACCTGTCCTTGGAGTGTTTGCGGACAGTGAATAGGGAGCAGTACACTGTACCTAACCACACGCCGTCCTAATCTTGGGAGAGTTTGATAGGGATGGTTTGGAGAAGCATTACTTTCTGTTTAAAAGAATATAGGGTGTTTTACTCTGTATCTAACCCTGTGCTGGCCCTGTCCTGGGAGTATTTCAGGACAGACTAGAGAGAGCTTTGCTCCATATGAAACCCAATGCTGCACCTGTCCTGGGAATTTTAATGTGGCCTGTATTGTTGTATGGCTCATTTTTCTAAAGCAAATCCACGTTCAACAACAAATTGCATTTATATTGTGCCTTAAATGTAATTAAATAGCCAAAGGTGTTTTGCAGGATGTTACAAATCAAATTTGACACAGAGCAAAATGATTCTATATCTCCTGGTCTTTCACAGCAATACTAGGACAGGTCATAAAAAGACTGGTCAAAGAGGTAAATTTCAGGAGTGGCTTGTAGGAGGAGGAGGGATACAGCAGTTCAAGCAGAGAATTCCAGAGCTGAGAGTCTATGATCTGAAAGCACAGCTGATTAAACTCAGGACTTCAGAATTATTGAAGGGTTGTGGGTCCAGATGGGGTATTTAAGATGGGTGGAGCAAGACCAGGGAGAGATTTGAAAACCCAAGTGCATGTATTTGATTAGAGGCATTGCTTAATTAATTGTTTGAGAGGTAACGACACAGGATAGGTAAGGGAGATCCAGTAAATATAATAAATATTTGGAATTACAGGCAGCATTTATTGAGAGCCCATGGTGTTCAGGGTAGTATATTGGAATGGATAGAAATTGGCTCGTGGACAGGAAGCAGCAAGTAGGGGTAAGGGGATCTTTTTCAGGTTGGCAGTGTGTGACGAGTTGGCGTAAGGGGATCTTTTTCAGGTTGGCAGCGTGTGACGAGTGGTTTCCACAGGGATCAGTGCTAGGGCCACTGCTGTTCACAATATATATTAATGACTTGGGGGAAGGAAGTGAATGTACTGTAGCTAAGTTTGCAAACCAATTTTTTTTTTTAAAAAGGAGACTAGTGAATTGCAAGAGTGTTACAAACAGTTTACAGAGGTATATTGATAAGTAATTGAGCAAAAAGTTGGCAAATGGAGATTAATGTGTATAGATGTGAAGTTGTTCATTTTGGGAGGGAGAACAAAAGAACAAATTATTATTTAACTGGAGAGAAACCGCAGAAAGCTGCAACAGAAAGGGATTTGGCAGGGACTCTTGCATAAAACACAGCAAGCAAACACAGGGGTAGCAGGTAATCAGGATGGCTAATGGAATGTTGACCCATATTTCAAACGGGTTAGAGTATAAGAGCAGGGAAGTTTTAACTGCTACTGTACAAGGTCCTGGTGAGAGCACATCTGGAATAATGTGAGCAGTCTTGATCCCTTCCTTAAGGAAAGGCATAATTTCATTGGAGGCAGTTCAGAGAAGATTCACTAGGATGATCGTTGGGCTAGAGAGAAAGTACCTTACGAGCAATGGTTGAACAGGTTGGAACTTTACTCTCTGGAGTTTAGAAGAATCGGAGATGATCTCGTTAAAACATTTGGGTTTCTTAAGGGGCTTGCCAGGGTAAATGCTGAGAGGATGTAGGTGAGTCTGGGACCAGAGGGCGTAGTCTCAGAATAAAGGGGCACCAATTTAAGACTGAGATGGGGAGGAATTTCTTCTGAGCGTTGAGTCTCTTTGGAACTCCTTGCCACGGAGAGCTGTGGGGACAGAGTCCTTGCGTGTATTTAAGGCTGAGATAGATTCTTGATCAGTTGGGGAATCGAGGGGTATGGGGAAAGGGCAGGATAGTGGAGGGTGAGTGCTGAGGGAGGGCCACACCGTCAGAGGGTCCACATGTACTAGAGCAATTAACCTGAGAAAACATCTGACCTGTCAGGTCTGCATAAAAGATCCAAAAACTTTACAAAGAAGTGGAACTCAAACAATCTCCCAATGTTTCTGGGACAACAGTTAGCCATCAGCTGTCATCAATCAAGACTGCTGATCTGGTCATTATCACAAGGGCTGCTTGTGGGAGCTTAAAGTGCATTCATTGGCTTGAAGCATTTTGTTACATCCTAAGGTGGTAAAAGGCACCATAAAAATGCAAGCACATCTTTCTTTGTCACTAACAGCCTTGATGTTTTGTTGTACTCTTGACTTGTTCTTGCATCCTTTCCCCTTCTTTCTTAATGCCATTTTTTTTCCCGGCCAAGCTACAGCCTGTGGGATGGTGCTGACCTCCCGCTTTGTGAAGCGTACCGGAGAGGAGGGGAGGAGGAGGAGGAGGAGGAGGAAGAGGGGTTGGTCACACCCGAAGAAGAGATGGTGACAGAGATGGCTGGGTCTGCGTCGACGGTTGCAGGAGAGTCTAATGGCAGAGTGGCTCTGAGCAATGCCACCACCCAACCACAGGTGAACGGACACAGCGCAGGGAGTACTGATCCTGTCTGAGGACAGTGGGGGTGGAGGGGGAGCAGCAGTAGATTGAGGCTGGTCAGTAAATGAACCCCACACCACCCAGTCCTGACTGTAACTCCTCCCTTCATGATGGGTCAGCTCAGGGCTTTAGATACACTGGAATAATCAGATACCGCAGCAATGAAACTTCACACACTGCCTAGCCTGATCTATACCATATAGTAGATGTTTTTGACAGGAATTATGGAAAAGTAAAAGGAGTTGGTGGGATATTAAAGGTTTCCAGTACCCATACTAGACTGACCCACCAGCGTCTGATGAAGCCTCTGTCACCATGTGGGGTTGCGTGGGAAGGTGTGCAGGAAGTGGTGAATGAACAGTTCACCATCACCCATCGACCAGTTTCATTCTCTGCCTCTCCCAGGATTGGGAGACCCCCATCCACCCACCATGCATTTTCAACTTTGTTTTTGAAAAGTGTTCTTTAACTTGCAGTCCAGTTTGACATCAATTTCTTTCCTTGCTTTCACCCTGTGATGTTGACTGAGCATGTGTTGTATGAATGGGATGGGTTTGTCTAACATAGATAAGGGGTAAAGATGTGGTAGGGTCTTTTGGAGGTGAACCACTTAAATAAGAGAATGAAAGACAAGTGGCAAGTCCTAGAAATAGTTGAAGATTAAAATGAACCGTGCAGCACTGCCCTGAAGTTGTGACTAACCAACCTCATTGTAAGCCAGAACAGTATTAAATGACATGGCCTGACACTGTCAGATAACCAGAACATCTTTTTTAAAACAACAGCAAGTTTTAGTTTTATGTGGTAACAGGAATTGTACATACTAAGTCACATACTGTAAGGCTTGAATTTGTTAGTAAACTTAAATCTATCATGTTTGTCTGTTTTTGTTCTGTCAATTGTTGAAGGAGGTGACAAGCACGTGGATGTGTATCGCAATGTCAGTGATCAAGAGTTTTGAATGGGGTTAATTTAATTTATGTAACACAGTCGAAGATGCAACAAAGGTGCCACAGTCTGAAAACACAACACCTCAGTCCAAATGCTGTTGCTAGATGATGAACAGCACAGATCCAAGGGTTTTTCTAAATCTGTCCTGCTATTAAAATCTACCTTGAAGTCTCTTTAAAGCCTTTATCGGACTTTCTTAGAAAGTTACCTGCCTTTCCAAATAAGAGCAGACAATCTCTGACCTTCTGACTTTGTGCTTTCAAGAAATCACACAATACAGCACTACATCATGTTCTAAACTGTCCGCTGCCATTTCGACAGGAATGTCCCATTTTCTGGGCGATGTGCATTCCAGCGAATCACAGTTCAGATTTCACCAAGGGCAGCTTGAGAATTTTAGTACAGTTTTGAAAAACACCAGAAATATAAATCTGGTGTCAGTAAACCTGGTCGAAGGGGTGGAAGGTATGGTTGCTTAATTTCCCAAAGAGACAGTTAAGTAGGAAATGAAGTTGAGAAGGTCATGTGAGACTGCAAACAGATATAGATGGATTAGGTGAGTGTGTTTTAAAAAAAATCAAACAGATGGAGTATATGGGAAAATGTGAATGTGTCCATTTTTGCAGGAAGAAGTGTAGAGACTATTTAAATGGAAACAGATTGCACAACTTTGAGGTACAGTTGGATCTGGTTGCCTGGTACACAAATCACAAAGTTAATATGTAGGAACAAAAAAAGAAATAAGGAGGGAGAAGATTAAATATGAGGGTAAGCTAGCCCGTAATATAAAGGAGGACTGTAAGAGTTTCTTTAGATATATAAAGTGCAAAAGAGAGCCAAAAGTGGACATTGGACCACTGGAAAATGACAGTGGAGAGATAGTAGTGGGGAACAAGGAAATGGCTGAGGAACTGAATAATTACTTCATGTCAGTCTTCACAGTGGAAGACACGAGTAATTTCCCAAAAATTCAAGAGAGTCAGGGGGCAGAACTGAGTATGGTGGCATCACCAAGGAAAAGGTGCTAGTAAAACTGATTGGGCTGAAGGTGGATAAATCACCAGGACCAGACGGACTACACCCCAGAGTTCTAAAGGAGATAGCTGAAGAGATAGTGGAAGCGTTAGTGGCAATCTTTCAGGAATCGCTGGAGTCAGGGAGGGTCCCAGAGGACTGGAAAATCGCTAACGTGACACTCCTGTTTAAAAAGGGAGTAAGGCAAAAGACGGAAAATTACAGGCCGATTAGCCTAACCTCGGTCGTAGGAAGATTTTGGAGTCCATTGTAAAGGATGAGATTTCTGAATATTTGGAAGTGTATAGTAAAATAGGGCAAAGTCAGCATGGTTTCATCAAGGGGAGGTCACGCCTGACAAATCTGCTAGAATTCTTTGAGGAAGTAATGAGCAGGGTAGACCAAGGAGAGCCAATGGATGTTATCTACCTGGACTTCCAAAAGGCCTTTGAGAGGATGCCGCACAGGAGGCTGCTGAGTAAGGGCCCATGGTGTTAGAGGCAAGGTGCTAGCATGGATAGAAGATTGGCTGTCTGGCAGAAAGCAGAGAGTGGGGATAAAGGGGTCTTTCTCAGGATGGCAGCCGGTGACAAGTGGTGTTCCTCAAGGGTCAGTGTTGGCCCCACAACTTTTCACTTTGTACGTTAATGATCTAGATGAAGGAACTGTGGGCATTCTGGCTAAGTTTGCAGATGATACAAAGATAGGTGGAGGGACAGGTAGTATTGAGGAGGTGGCGAGGCTGCAGAAGGATTTGGACAGGTTAGGAGAGTGGGCAAAGAAGTGGCAGATGGAGTACAATGTGGGAAAGTGTGAGGTCATGCACTTTGGTAAGAAGAATAAAAGCATGGACTATTTTCTAAATGGGGAGAAAATTCAGAAGTCTGAAGTGCAAGGAGAGTTGGGAGTTCTAGCCCAGGATTCTCTCAAGGTAAACTTGCAGATTGAGTCAGTAGCCAGGAAGGCAAATGCAATGTTAGCATTTACTTTGAGAGGACTTGAATATAAAAGCAGGGATGTACTACTGAGGTTTTATAAGGCTCTGGTCAGGCCACATTTGGAGTATTGTGTGCAGTTTTGGGCCCCATATCTCAGGAAGGATGTACTGGCCCTGGAGCGGGTTGGGAGGAGATTCACGAGAATGGTCCCAGGAATGAAAAGCTTAACATATGAGGAACGTTTGAGGACTCTGGGACTGTACTCATTGGAGTTCAGAAGGATGAGGGGGGATCTAATTGAAACTTGCAGAATACTGAATGGTCTGGACATGTTGGATGTTGGGAAGATATTTTCATTTGTAGGAGAGACTAGGACCCAAGGGCACAGCCTTAGAGTAAAGGGAAGACCCTTTAGAATGAAGATAAGGAGAAACTTCTTCAGCCAGAGAGTGGTGACTCTATGGAATTCACTGCCACGGAAGGCTGTGGAGGCCAGGTCATTGAGTACATTTAAGACTGAGATAGATAGGTTCTTGATTATCAAGGGTTACGGAGAGAAAGCAGGAGAATGGAGTTGAGGAACTTATCAGCCATGATTGAATGGCGGAGCAGACCCAATGGGCCGAATGGCCTAATTTCTGCTCCTATGTCTTATGGAACAGCAAGTGATTAGGAAGACAAAATGGAGTGTTGTCATTTGTTGCAAGAGGAATGGGAATTTCTCAGGAAGGGTCACTGGACCCAAAACACTAACTCTGTTTTTTCCTTCACAGATGCTGCCGGACCTGCTGAGCTTTTCCAGCAAATTTGTTTTTATTCCTGATTTGCAGCATCTGCAGTTCTTTTGGTTTTTATTTTGGGAAGATATAGCTATTGTTGCTTAGAGCATTGGTGAGACCACATCTGGAGAACAGTATTAATTGATGTGTGGAATGGAGGGGATATCTAATGAGGAAAGGGTGGGCAGATTGGGTATATATCTATTGTAGTTTAGAAGAACGTGAAGTGAACTTATTAAAACCAATAAAATCCTGAGGAAAAATGGGTACTGAAAGTATGGTGTCCTGTGTGAGAGAGACAGGGACACAATTTAATACTAAGGTGTCTTCCACTAAAGACAAGTGAGAGATTCTTGCTGTGAGAATCATGTGTGGAATTCTCACACCCCACGGGACTGATGGCATTATTGAATATTTTTAAGACAGAGGTAGGTAGATTCCTTACTGACAAAAGAGTCAAAGATCTTTGGAGGTAGATGGGAGAATGGATTTGAAGACATGTTCTTATCAGCCATGTTATTGGATGGGGGAGAAGGCTTGATGGCCCAAACAGCTCACTGCTCCTAATTAAATGCTTGTGAGAGTGATACTGAATTTAAAGTTATTTTGAGAAGATTTGTAGCTCGGGTTGTGAATGAGGTTGTAGACTTGCTCGCCAAGCCAGTGGGTTTGGTTACAACATTTCATCACCCTGCTAGGTAACATCGTCAGTGCGCCTCCGGTGAAGCGTTGGTGTTCTGTCCCACTTGTTATTTATATGCCTCGGTTTGCTGGGGTGGTTGATATTACTTCCGGTTCTGTTTTTCAGTGGTTTGTATATCGGGTCCAGTTCAATGTGTTTGTTGATGGAGTTCCAGTTGGAATGCCAGGCCTCGATGCAGGACTCCCTTAGCATTCCCTCAGTACTGACCCTCTGACAGTGCACCACTCGGATTACTGACCACTGACAGTATGGTGCTCCCTCAGTGCGGTGCTCATTCAGTCCTACATTGGGAACCTGGCACCTGACATTTGTACCTGGGCATCAGCCCTGCTTAACAATGCGGAAGAGGGAGCTATGATGTCATTTTTCTACCATTGCAAGATGCCCTAAGTGAACACAAATCACAAAGTTAATATGTAGGAACAGCAAGTGATTAGGAAGACAAAATGGAGTGTTGTCATTTGTTGCAAGAGGAATGGGAAGATTGTGGGAAGATATAACAGTTGTTGCTGAGAGCATTAGTGAGACCACATCAGTCCCTTTTACTATTCAAAAAAAAATTAATTGAACTTGTATCAGGAGTTTTCAAATTCAGGTCCCTAATAAGAGAAAGTGAATTTGAGACCGTGGGACATATGTCTTTTTCATGATTATATCTATATTTTTCCCAAGTGTTTTAAAATTTGGTACTGATTTTGCTGGAATAGACTCAAAGAAACATTCCTGTTACTCTCATGTGCTGTCTAAGGGGACAGCACCTTTTAAACTAAAGCTAAACTATTGATGTTAGGAAACATTTGTTAATGAATTTTGGCAATCTGAAACTCTCCCTTACAAAGGCTGTGAAAGCGAGTAGGGGGAACGAGACCAATCAGGTTTGTTAAAATCTAACCTTACCTAATAAAGGACAAGAACACGGTCCACAAATGTACAACAGGGAGAGAGAAAATAAAAGCATTTATTTTTCTAAAACCAGGAACCAGCCTTAGCATCCAGCATTCTACAGTCTGGAGTCTGAAACTGTATATGCTGTATCTTACTGTGTTTGCTCAGTATAATTATTTCTGGCATTTAAATTTGTCAACATACCTGTAGCTTTTTAGCATTTGTCAATCCATAGTGATCAATCACAGGTGCTGATGCTCCAACTTGTGATAATGGAATTATGTAAGGCTCACCTCTCGCCAGCACAGCTCTGCTTTCCAAAAGCAGCCAGACATTGTCATCATATCCATACACGGAACACTCTGTAGTACAGTCACTCATTATTTTGAGAAACTGGAGGAAGGTGAATGATCACCGGTAACTGTAACGCTCCAGCAGTGAGTTCCCAGAAACACCAGCAACAGGTAAATGGACATTCACAATGAGGGAAACAATAAGAACAGAACACAAATAGAAAGACACAAAGAAACCAGTCTTTGGATTAATATTTTCTGTAAAATACATAGTGTCTTCAACAGAGAAATACTCCCGCAGCACTGACCCCCCCCGACAGCGCAGCGCTCCCGCAGCACTGATCCTCCGGTTGTGTCTGAATTAGGAATTGGATCTCTGTGATTGGAATCTCTATCTTTAGCACCAACTGGAATGGTTGAAGCAATGTGAATTGTCTTTTTTTAATTAAAAGACAAATAGTTTTGAGTTTGTATTTAAATACATCTTTTTAATACAATGAATGACAAGTTTCACACAGAGGGTTGACAGGGTTTTAGACACTGCAGCAACATATTTGTATTTGGAGTTTGTACGGTAACAGGGCCTTGCCTAATCTGTGTAGGAAGGACCAGCAGAGAAGTAGGAGCGATGAAATTTCAGCCGGTCCTGGAATGTGATCAGGTTTTCCGGTCCGGTGACCAGCGATTTCTCCATGCCAACATTAAATCCATGGTCCTTGTACATCCCACATTTGCTTAAATGTTCTGAAAGTTTCTGAGATACCGTGTAGTAGCTGGTCTGGAAAGACAAGCGGTCAGCAATGATGAGGATGGGGTAAGTTACACCCACTTCGATCTGCTACAGATCTACAAATATAACACCTACCCTCAACCCAGTCTCTCCACTGGGGTACGGCTCCCACACACTGACTCTCACTGCAGGACAGCTCCCACGTACACTGAC